CCGCTGTACTTGTGGTTTAACTGAGTGAAGTGGAAAACAAACCCTCCTACTCTTGCAGAGCAATCCAGAACTTCCTCTGCAACCAAGTCTGAAATGAATGTGCCCTGCCATGGTATTTTCTTTGTTATCTAGGCAGCCTGGCATGAGCTGGTCTCACCTGCTCCTTCTCTCTGTGCTGTTGGTAGCAGATGGGACCTGGATCACAGGAGGGTGTCTTAGGACAGAAATGGCCATGAGAGTTTTTTTGCTGCAGCTGCTGTGATTCACCTCCCTTAGCTCCCTGGCTCCTCCAATCACAGCTGTACAGCAGCACCAGCAGGAAATGGGCCAAAACGACAAGTTTTCAGGGACCCTCACATTTTCTAACACCATTCTTGGGATGCATTTGCTCATTCAATATGGAGTCTCCCCAGCAGTGGGTTTTTGCCCATGGGGAGAGGACCAGGCACCTCTGTCCCCAGCCCAGCCATGGCAGCTGGGGGTTGTGCTGCACCAGCACAGGGGTGGAAGGCAGCTGAGGCCCTCCCAGCCCTTGGTGGTAATGAAACAAAAACAAAACAGGTGGGGTTTTGGTGTAGCCAATGGGTTTTGTTATCCACCCCCCCAGGCAGCTCTAAATTTCAGACATCTCTGAGTATGGAGCAGTGTTGCTCAGACTGTTGACCTGAGAGTTGTCAAAATGTTCTCAAGTTCCTGTGCACAATTCTTAAGGAAAAACTGTAAGAAAAAGTCCATCTGTCCCAACAGGATTAAATTACCAATCTGACACAAAATGGCACACACCAAAATGCTTGGGAATTTCGAAAAGGTACTTTCAGTATACAAAGCAGGGGAAAATTTGTTTGCTGTAATACAGAAACAGGAGATGTCCCCATTTGGCTTCCCACATTTCCTAACCTTTAGGATAGAAAGGTTACAGAAAGCTGTAACTAATTGCATCACAGCCACTGCCCTGTCTCCAACTTCCAGTAAGCGTGCCTGGATGACCCATGTTGGATTAAGAGTACCTGGTTATTATTTGGAGGATTCTCTTTGTTCAGTTCTTGGCTTGTTCCCAAGCATTTTCCCAAAGCCCCAGAACTACAGCTCAATTCATTTTTTAAAGCTTGGCAGAAACTTAGTTCTTGCTGTGTGAACTTTAAACCGGCATCACCAGCAATGAGCTGCTTTTCCTTTTCTTTCTCCCGTCCTTTTACTTTGCCCCAGCAGGCAGAACATGTATAGTAACTGGTACGTAAAGGGAAAATGGTGATGTGGGTTTCTTTCCTGTCTGTGTGTCCATCTCTTGCGGGTGTTTATAAGACCCTTTCAGCAGTGGTATCTAAAATAAGTCAGATGGCAGGAATG